ATATGCTCTTCTATCGCAGGTTGAAGTGGAAGTATTAATAATTTTTCCATGGTTTTGAGGAAGGGTGAAGTTATTGCAATATGTTTAAATTTCACATTCTTATCACCAGATGCTTTCTTGGGTACAGGGATTATCTTTATCTTTTTCCACGTTTTCGGTATGAGATTACATGAGAAGGATCTGTTAAAGATAGTCGTGAATGGATAACATAGGACTTCGGCACATTTTTAAAAAAGGAGGTTAGGGATACCATCAGGTCCTAAACATTGGGATGAATTAAGCGACTGGAGACATCTTCGAACACAGCTATTATTTAAACCTGTGGATGAAAGGAGCATTACATCAGATGACTGACGTACAAAAGACTTATTTAAGTCACAAACATTCAGCTGGTTATCGCTTCTAATCTGTCTGTCACCTGTAAGTTCTTTAAATAGTTTCCACATACTTGGAGTTTTTGAGAGATAAGAGTTTTTGAGTAAACATAGAGTTGGGACGTCTAATCTCTAGGTTTATCAGACCATTTAGCTTACGAACTTCATTAGAGTTTTTCTCCTTGTACATTCTTTCTTTCACCCTCAGTAGTCGTTTTAGTTGTGAAGATGTAAGTCGATCAAAACTTACAAAAATGGTTTCAGTGGGACAGCAAATATCAAAACAGCAGCTCGCCAATGGTGAAAACCCTCTCCTATTTAAACGATTTCAGTCACTGACTGGTTGTAGGTTGAATGCTACCACCGACAACGAATAATGAAAGTATTTCAGAAACCATGTATACTATTCAAACTGGCCTCCTTCAACATTCGCACACCAAAGCAGGTCGAACAACATATGGGGTTGCCTATTTGTTTATAAAGTCTCAATACCGACGTTTGTTGTCTATCCGACACCCGTATTCAAGACCATAGTGATGTACTACAAATTCTCTCTCCATCTGCTGCTTCGGAAAGCTTGTTTTATGTGCGTTTATCCGGGGACCCTCTGGCATCTTCGTCTGACGTTTGTGTCGCACTAAGCTCCAGAGTTGAGGCAGCACTAATCGATTTGATACCCATTAACAGTCGGTTGTGTGCTGTTTGATTAAAAGGTTCCATCAAAATAAGAAGGAATCGTTGTGAGAAATGATGTCTTCCCATCATCTCTGCCTATGCCCCGACAGATTGAAGCCCAGATGCGATCAAGAACGAGTTTTACTACCAGCTAACAGTTCTTCTACAAAAATAAAGCGTTCAACAGATATTGTGGTACTAGCCGGAAAGTTTAATGCTCAGGTCAGGCGTCTAGGCACAGAATAATCGTTTAGGTGGCCGATGGGGTCTTGTTGGTCGCAGGTCAAATAACGGGAACTGTCTACTGCAACTGTGCGCAGACTATAACCTATTTCTGGCTAGCACTAACTACTGGCAAAGTCACCGCCGATGTGCCACCTAGAGTTAGAGAGTTTTCCAACATTATGGAATGAGTCGATAGTTGTCTCTATCTTTAAAAAGGGTTCACGTCGTTCCTGTAACAACTATAGGGAGATAAGTCTTCTTCCGATTGCGTCCAATCTGTTGGCTTCCGTCATACTTCGTAGGTTGTTCAAGACCCGAGAAAGATTGACTCGCGAGGAACAGGCTGGGTTTCGTTCTGGTCGAGGATGTATTGATCATAACTTTACCCTCCGCCACATGTTTGAACAACGATTCGTTGGATAGGACTGTTCACTGGGTTAGACAGGGTTGTCCAATCTCATCAATCCTCTTCAACTTTGCTATCGAAGACGTTCAGAATAGAAGACAGTGGAAATCCTGTTGTAACCTTTTTTGCTTTCATCCTCCGTGACTGTACTTTTTTAATTGAACTGCCTCTCCCATTATTGTTATTTCACTGTCATACACTAATTTCTGTTCATTGTCACACTTTTTTCTTATTCACACCTTGCATTTTTTATATCTCCACATTCTCATCATTATTGTGTGGCGCATATATATCTGGTGCACCTGTGTACCAATATTTAATTGTTCAAGTAAATAAATAAATAAAATTCGGCTTAGTGGCTGATCTGTCTGGGAATCACTGATATTTTATTTGCCCTACATTACATTTGTTTAGTGAAATCCGAAATGGCTTCAAGAGTCTGATAGACACGTTTATTAAACCGCAAGCAGAACAGGTGGAGCGTATATCGGCGCAAACATTTTACTATCTAAAAATGGAAATACAAAATTAATACCTACAGAAAATAAGGTTGTAAACCGTTCTGGCTTCTAGTTAAAATGTTTCCACTTCGACATCGGGTTGTTGGCTTATTACTAAACATTTACTATTGGCTGCTCTGTAGCCGTGGGCGTGACACACAGTGACTAGTTATTGAAGCTCGCAGTTTTAGGTTCATGGTTGAAAAATAACTTTTGTATACAATGCAGTTGTGAGTATAAGGTTCAACAGGAACTAAAAGTCAGTCTATCTAAAACCAAATGATGGTAGGTTTTTGAAGCTAACATAAGTGATATTCTACTCATACAGACGATATCGTAACGTACACTGTTTTTAGTCAAAGAAATCTTTACAAAGCGACGTATAGTGAGTGGTATGTGCTATGATTATCAGGAAATGTATAAATTTTAGGTAAACGGAATGCAACTCTCAAACCATGTTTATTGTAATATGAATTTTCGTCAATGTTGAGGTAGGTTTGACAATTATGCTATCAGTTTGTATACTCACTTAGCTACTTAAACTGCAATTTTGCACGACTGATCCTTTCAACAAAACTCCACTTGAATTAACAGAGCCCAAGGATAGTTATTCGACAAGCAGCTGTTGGTAAGACATTTATTATAAACAGGAGAGGTTTACGATAATCATGCCTGAATGTGTGCTCCCAGTATTTAACCTTAGGTTGACACTTACTGACTTTTACCACCTTTCACTAAGTATTCAATGGACAGTTCAATAAAGTCCAGAATTTTTTACCTCACCCAGGATTTATTGCTGATGTCATTGCAAGAAGAAAATCTCCAACTAAGATCGTATGCAACACACCACATGTGAAATGCAGAACAGCCAAAGATACTGATCACATCAGAGCCCATCACTAGTGTCTAAAATCTCATAGAGATAATCCGCTAAACATATTGAAATAATAGGTAACAGAGTATCCCATTACAAATAAAAAGATCTGATTTTCATGATGGATCACAAAAGTCCAGAAAAACTGGACATTTTCATTTGTTCCGAATCAATAAGATTCAGTTAACCACGATCCTAGTTCAAACAAACTCCTAAAAGTAGATAAAATCAATAACACACTTTGCAACTGCTGATAAATGAGAAGGAATGACTGTAGTGACATGGGGCCCTAACCACACAATCCTCAAAGCTGAGCACGAGACAACTGGGAAAGTAGATATTCAACATTTAAGGCAGAGAAAAACCTAACGATGGCGAAGTTGGGAGAGTGAATTGAATTAATTGGTTAATCGGGTCACATGGCTCTGCATTGCAGGTGTGGTCACTCTTGAACGTTTCCTTACATCTATTCATATTGAATATATTTTCTATCTCTAGCCTAAGTTTGTTCTCTATAGTATATGGGTGATTGCTACGATGCAATGAGTTGGTGTAGATAATGATGTAAATTACACGTAAGATCTCATAGATTAGGCAGTTATGTAATGACAAATCTACAAATTTGGGATTAAGTCTATTATTGAAGTAGTACTAAAATTGAAGTAGACCATAATTCTACATGCTGAACTGTCACTTGGTGAAAGTTAGTGGCAGTAATTCTGTCACGAGCCCTCCAGTCGTTACAGGTGTGAAGCTTTTTATTATTTCTCTGAATGAAACAATATCGAGGCCATAAAGTTATCTAGTATTTTTTCAAGTTACTAATGAAACGAGAGTCTTAACGTTTGCATAGATTACGAAATTATGTGGTTTGAGTCTTGTACAGCCTCCAGTGAAATATCCGATATCCTTTCAAATAATTAAATTCGAAACACAAAGGTTGACTTACGTACTGTTCTGGTGATCAGATCTATAAATATGAATTATATAAAATCACACAAATGAATAGCATGACGAAACTATGCAGTCCCTACAGTTATCCAGCATGATTAAACAATCCAATCTACAATATACTGGATTGGTGACTTAACAAAACGCAGGTAATTATTATCAGCTTTAGGAAAAATAGCTACATCCCTGTTAATCAGGGAAAATTATTTTGCACTTTTGGGATAAATTGAAATGATCGGTTTGAAGATTAGTAACCAGACTACTGAAGACAAAGATAACAGGCTTCGAGGCTGGATAATTCGCAAAGGTTTTGATTTTCAACAAACTTTTCTGGCCCCAGTCAGAGTATGAAAGCCTTATGTTTCCTGCTTCAAAAGAGCAATGATAATCCGGAGAGTATCCAGTTAAAAGCCACAAAACCAGTGAAGAAACTCAAGTGCAAGCCTTACGAGAGAAGTTTTAAACCGTCGGACCTTTACTTTCAGAAATTAAAGACATTACTCATAAGCCACATAAGTACAGAATCACAAAAGCATGAATATGAGACGTGTATGTGATGAAGTTGAAAATTTTCTAAGAAAACAACAGAAGTACTATGAGGGTTATAATGGCTCAGTAGTCACGGTTTGTCTGAGTGATTAAATTCTATTAGGAAGCTAGGATGAATCATGTAATTATGTAACAATACTAGAGACTTCATGACTTAGGACAGGATCTCAGAGAAATTTTCGAACACTTCTTTTACATATCTGTCTCCCCTACCTGGGCACCCACCTGGAAACAGTAGTGATACACGGTAACTAATCTCAGAAAATTCTATTCCATGTGCAACCATTTCAATCATTGAAGCCTCTATTTGCAACTGGAAAAAGTAAGATCTATGCACTTTTTAAACACACGCAAAGGAAAACCACACACTTATATAAGATACAATGTAAGATTCTGCAATTCGCACTCCAGAACATGATTCTGGGACGTGTTAAATACTATTGAATAAAGAACAGTAACACGATTTGGCGGCACTAACAATTAAAGCATGGCTCCCAAAGCTCCAGCAAAAAAACAGGAGAAAGGTGATAATCAGGTCAAGAAGACCCAGGGTAGTAAAAATGTATCCAAGAAATCTCAAAAACCTTCAAAGTCACTTAAGGCCCTAAAAAGTGTAAAAGGTGGCAAAGTTGTGAAGGCAGGAAACAAAAGTTAGTTTACTTGTATTTTCTTAATATTAACTAGTATTACTTTTCGTCTAACACATATCTTTTGTCCGATTACTAACTTGATATTTTCACATCTTGTTATAAAGAGTCCACAGCCTCTCTGAAGGCGTTGAAAGCACAACGGGCCGTCACACTTGGTGCTCACACGAAAGGCAAGAAAAGAGTGATGTATACTACGCGATTCAGGCGACCTAAAACGTACAAACCTCCTCGCTGTCCAAAAGATAGAAGATTTCTGATTCCCAAGAGAAACAAGTAAGTGTGTGCCGAGCTTTTTATATTTCCAGACTTGATGCCTTTCGTATCATTCAACATCCGGTTACAACCGAAGCTGCTATGAAGAAAATTGAAGATAACGACACGTTAGTGTTCATTGTTGACAGAAGAGCAAACAAACCAGCAATCAAGGCAGCTGTCCAAGAACTTTATAATATCAAAGTTGCGAAAGTCAACACGCTTAATTGCCCTAACAACGTTAAAAAAGCATATGTAAAGCTACCTCCTGATTTCGACGCCTTAGATGTTGCTAATAGAATTGGTATTATATAAGTTGTACAAAAAATACATGTGCCAGTGTTTCGAAATACTTGTGTAATTATGCTTTATTTGATCTGGTGTATAGTATTTTTCCCGAAGTATGCAATATGGTCGTACTTCCTAACTCTAGTAAAAATAATTGACTTCGTAAACCCCCATAGTTCCTTTTCAGATTTGACTAGACTTATCATTACTAGCCACAGTTTACACATTCTTCGTCTTCACACACGTCAATCGTACTAAGTGCCATTAGAAATCAAGTAAATTGATGTCCATCAACGTAAAGATTACTATAAAAAAGTACAACATAAGTCTAAGGTTACTCTTTATTTTATTTCTTACAATACTTCGTTAGAGAGACCTACGTCTGCTTTTGGGGATCTACACTAATTCAGAATCTCCCGAATAAAAATGCAACGTAACAGTATAGCTTTAAGAAATGTGTGATTAACTAATCTGCTTTGCCATTGTATCTGGACGTAATGACCTTAATGATTGAGAATAACGCATCCAGATTTGTTGATATCTGACACTGATTGCTTATCATACATAGTACACGACATTACTAAGTTATATAAGCACTCTAATCAGCCAGAAAACTCAATATCAATTCTCATTCGATGTGTAAAGTACATTTTATGTTACCTGTATTGCGTAATGTATTAGAAAAGTCCGTCACTTGGGCTTAATATCAAAAATATTTTTCGTTTCAAGTGATGCCTATAGGAAACGTACTAAATCTAATCAACTTCATGCATTTGACTTGTAATGGTGCATTATCAGCTCACTATGTGCGTGTGCTTTGGGTCTGTGTGCACGATAAGTACGGTTAGTAGGCAAGTGAATTAGATCAGCTACACAATGACTCCGAATGTGATTCACTTTTATGTCCCTATTAGATTCCTTTATTTCACTGATCGTCATTAAAGTAATGACTTCCAAGGGTAAGTAATAGTGAGATTAGACACAGGGTATTAGGGAATGATGGTAAATCAATTGATGAGGTTGTGAATCTCCATCGATTGAGATGGTTGGGCCACGTGTTTCGTATGCCCGAACACCGATTACCACGACGCGCAACTCTGACTAGTGTTGGAGATGGTTGGAAGAAAGTTAGGGGCGGCCAAACCAAGACTTGGGATCAGTGTTTGAAGTCACTAACTTCTAGTCCGAGTCATGTTGGTAGATGCAGACTACTTGGTTTGAGTCCGTGTGACTATCGTAACCAATGGTTGGAGACTCTTGGTGACATGGCTCAGAATCGATCACAATGGCGTCGGTGTGTACACTCTCTGTCTTCCCTTAAACTAAGAGATTAAAATCGCTTCATATATTTCTTTCTACGAACCAATTCTTTCTTCCTGTACTATATATAATTTGCGGATGTTTGTCAGCCAAACTAATAGACCCCTTCAGAATAAAGTGAAACATATCCTAAGGAGAACCAACAAGTTCAGTGACGAAAGTGTCACAACAATTAGTTTCTGTTTATCGGTTGTATTGGGGACATTTGTTACTAAAGTTAACAATTTCTATGTGTACATAAAAAACAAACCAACTTACGGGGTCAAGCATTTAGAAAGGTTGATGCTTACAGAACGAACTTTCCTATGCGCCTAAGACGACTAGTGATTTCAATAATCCGAACTACTGATCGTATAAACTAAACAAAAACCCGTCTTTTTAGATTTGAACAGACTTGGTAACTATACGCGAACAACCAATAAAATGTTATGATTGGAAGTCATCCAGTCAGCTACAACGTAGGACTAGACATATATATGCATCGGTCCAAGTTGCCATACCTCATTAACACAACAAGATGAAAACCGGATTCATAAAAGTAATTAATTCAGAGGTGGTAATATGTAAAAGAAAGATTGCAATAAGGATATAGTTCAGGAAGAAAGAATTGGTTCGTAGAAAGAAATATATGAAGCGATTTTAATCTCTTAGTTTAAGGGAAGACAGAGAGTGTACACACCGACGCCATTGTGATCGATTCTGAGCCATGTCACCAAGAGTCTCCAACCATTGGTTACGATAGTCACACGGACTCAAACCAAGTAGTCTGCATCTACCAACATGACTCGGACTAGAAGTTAGTGACTTCAAACACTGATCCCAAGTCTTGGTTTGGCCGCCCCTAACTTTCTTCCAACCATCTCCAACACTAGTCAGAGTTGCGCGTCGTGGTAATCGGTGTTCGGGCATACGAAACACGTGGCCCAACCATCTCAATCGATGGAGATTCACAACCTCATCAATTGATTTACCATCATTCCCTAATACCCTGTGTCTAATCTCACTATTACTTACCCGATTATCCCAGCATACGCCAGCAATACTTCTAAGGCATCTGTGGTCAAATACTAGTAGCTTACGAGTTTCTTCTACCCTTAATAACCACATTTCGTAACCGTGAAGTAGAACGGTACGAACTGTATACTCGTCCTTTAATTCATAGATATCTCAACTTCGCCGTAGTTGGTAAGAGGCAAACGAGCTTTTTGAATCTGTTGAGATTGAGTCCGACACCAATCCATTAGGGCTGATCAGACTTCCAAGATAAGTGAAGTTGTCGATGCGTTTGACTACTTCACTCCCTATCCTTAGTTCAGGTGTTGGCGCAGGCCAGTTCTGAAGCAACAATTTTCATTTTACATGGGGGAACGCATCCCGACCATCCTGGCATTGTCTCTTAATGCTACCAAAAGATTATTTATTTGAACGCATAAATATTGGTACAAGGGTGCGCCAAATATATATGTGCCACACAAAACAAAGAATTTAAAGAGAAGGAAAAAGAAAAAGTAAGGAGCGTTAGAAAAGGAACGATAAGGAAGAGATCGGTTTAAGGTAGTGTAATAATAATAGTAATAATGGGGGAACGGAAAGGTACAATTAGAAGAAATCTTTCAGTTATGGAAGATACAATCATTTTTTACGAAGAAAGTAAAAGAAGGTTACAGCAGGATCGCCACTGGCTTCTATTCTGAGCCATATCTGATAACGTCTCTAGCCACTGTGTAGCACCATCTCTCAGACCCCAACCAGGGAGTCGTGAATGACCAACACAAGCCAGTCCTTTGCAGCTTTCTTTCATCCCACGACACCATGTCATATACTGACCACCTCTCCGCTTTTTCCAACCAGTCCCAGCGTCGGCAAATAATGCACGACGTGGAATTCTCTGGGACGACATTCGTAGAACATGTCCAAGCCACCGAAGTCGGTGTTTCAAGATGGTGACACCGATTGCATTGTCGTCTCTGTGCCCGAACACACGATGCCGAACCTCTGCATTACTAACATGGTGTTGCCGCTGGATGTCAGCAATCCTTCGGAGACAACGATGGTCGAACACAGAGAGTCGTCTAACGTCCTCAACTCAGAGAGGCCAGGTTTCACAAGCATAGAGCATAACTACTCTCACCGACACGTTGTAGATCCGACCTTTTACAGCCAGACTAACATCACGAAGGCGCCAAAGATGGCCCAGATTGACATAAGCTGCTCTGGCTTTCACTATACGTGCATTGATCTCATCACTCACACCCTCACCAGCACTCATACAGCTACCCAGATACACGAACTTCTCGACTACGTCTATCTGCTCACCATCCAGGATGAGTACAGGATTGGAATCCTGCCAGTCTTGTAGAAGTACTTTGTACTTCGAAGGTGCAAAGCACATACCATACCTACTAATACTGACTGCCAACTGATTAAGTGCGGATCGCATGTCTTGGGCATTATCGCAAAATAAGACAATATGATCCGCACACTCAAGGTCGAGAAGTATTTCTCCAGGCAACAGATCCACACCGCCATTACTTACATTCATCAGAGCTGTTTCCAGAATGTTGTCGATGGCAAAGTTGAAGAGGAATAGTGAGATTGGGCAACCTTGCCTAACCCCACTGCTCGAATGGAACAACGGAGAGAGGTGGTTGTATGCCCTCACTCTGCCTGAGGTATTTGTATATAGGGCTTTTAGGATGTTAATAAACTTCTGATGCACACCATTCTTCAATAGACAATCCCAGAGAGCAGTCCTATCCAACGAATCTTAGGCAACCCTAATGTCACGAAACATTACGATTGTTGGCCTTTGGTAAGTATGACGGTGTTCAAACATGTGGCGGAGGGTGAAGATATGATCAATACATCCTCGACCAGAACGAAACCCAGCCTGCTCCTCGCGAGTCAATCTTTCTCGGGTCTTGAACAACCTACGAAGTATGACGGAAGCCAACAGATTGGACGCAATCGGAAGTAGACTTATCTCCCTATAGTTGTTACAGGAACGACGTGAACCCTTTTTAAAGATAGAGACAACTATCGACTCATTCCATGATGTTGGTACAAGTTGTGGAATGACGTTTTATCAGCATCACCAAATGCCCTGGTACGGTTGAAAGTGGAGAGAGTCACCTCTCGTTTTCGAAATGCTCTCAGATGGACACGTTTATGCAACCACTGACAGGGAAGTCCTACTCACTGACTTCTCGCGGCACTACTGTTTTTTACGAAATTGAGAGGACGATAAGCGAATATCCGGCGCTTTAACCGAGTTGGCAGATACGGAGAGTCCACTTAGGGGAGTTGGAAAACCCTGATTCCAAACCAATGGTGCACATGGGCTCCAGTATCCTGAAGGAATAAATGGCGTATGAACCTATTGTTGGTCACCGGCTACCAAGGGAGTGCATCTCCTGACGTTGCTCCACTGCTCTGTGGTTCAGACTTTTAGGTTGCAGACTCCGAATCTGGCCCTCTAAGAAAACCACCTGCTTCGATTTTGGAACCAGGTTAGTATCCCAGCCCTCACGCAAATCGAGTGATTTACGTGGCGCATACCTATTTGGTGCCTCCTCGTACCAATGTTTATATGTTTAAATAAATAAATAAACCAAACAGGACTATGTCCTGAACCATGCAAAAGTCGTACTGCTGACTGTAGAGAGTGTGACAGCAGTAAGGCGTTTCCCTCTGACAACCAGCATCTACAGCGACACTGCCTTCTCACAAGGAAGGAAGGAAGGTTTAAAAAAGCTCGACTCTAAAAATGTCACACCTCACTTTACCTCATGGATTTCCGTCTTCGCCGGTAAGGCATTTTGAAGAACGGAACTGACACATTAAAAACCTAC